GAGAGAGAGAGAGAGAGAGAGAGAGAGAGAGAGAGAGAGAGAGAGAGAGAGAGAGAGAGAGAGAGAGAGAAGGGAGGAAGGACGGATTCGGAGCAGGAAGGGTGGAGGGACGTAGAGGAAGAGGAAGAATACGGAGGATGCAAGGATGACACTGGCGAGAATGGTAGAGCAGGAGGTCTGAGGATACAGGGATTGTGACGATGATCAGGATGGTCCGAGGATGCAGAGAGGACGTGGGCGAGACTGACACACGGAAGAGAAGAGAAGGGGAGCAAGAAGATCGTGCCCGCGGTTGACGATCATGGCGATGAACAGTATAGTAATGATAATGATGGTAGTTATCACCTGTGCGAAGGGGGAGGGAGAGAGAGAGAGAGAGAGAGAGAGAGAGAGAGAGAGAGAGAGAGAGCTGCAAACAGGGGGGGATTGGTGCGAAACGGGGCATCGCTCCGCTACTCACCACATGTACAAAAGACAAAAATATGGGCGGGTAGAGAGAGAGAAAGACAGAGAGAGAGAGAGGGTACCAAACAGCGCCTTCCTCCGCTGCTCGGCACATGCACCCGGCCTGTCAGGTCGGACGCGAGAATGATGACACATGGAGAAGGCCGAGCACGTATGGATTGAAGAACGGAGGGACAATGGAGAGAACAGAAGGATGGAGGGGCAAACACGTGATGGGGGGAAAAACCAGACGGGAACCATCATGGAAGGAAGAAGGGGACGATAACGATGAAGATGATGATGATGATGACAATGACGTGTGTGCGTGGGGGAGAGAGAGAGAGAGAGAGAGAGACGGGATAGGGTGATGGAGATGCATGTGATTCTTTTTGGTTTCTCCTTGGCGGCAGTGATTGCAGACCGCAGGACGACATGCACCGAAGCCCGACAATCCCCGCGTAAACTCTCTCTCTCTCTCTCTCGTGCGCGCGCGTTGCGTACACGTTCTTTTTGCGTGTTTTTTTTTATTTGTTTTTTTTATTATTATTATTTAAGGCCCGTGGCCCTCAAAGACAAAAGGAATGGATGGATGGACGAACCGCATGAGGCAACTTTGTCTTTCTTCCTTTGATGCACTGTTTGTCTGGAACAAGTCCTTGCTGGCAAAGGGGAAAAGAAAAAGAGATCATACCACATAAAGCATGCCTTATCTTTTTCCCCTCGAAAAAAAAATACAATAATATTGCTCTTTGACTGCTTCATGAATCAGTCGATGGATGGATGAGTGAATGAACGGAGAGCAATATGTTTTCCCGGTTCGTCTTTTGCTTTTTGTCCATGCCTTCGGCCGCAGCATACCTGCGGCAGGTCCACTTGTGCTTATAATAACCCCTGTCTCTTATACACATCTAGATGTGTATAAGAGACAGACATAAAGCATGCCTTATCTTTTTCCCCTCGAAAAAAAAATACAATAATATTGCTCTTTGACTGCTTCATGAATCAGTCGATGGATGGATGAGTGAATGAACGGAGAGCAATATGTTTTCCCGGTTCGTCTTTTGCTTTTTGTCCATGCCTTCGGCCGCAGCATACCTGCGGCAGGTCCACTTGTGCTTATAATAACCCTGTTCACCTATCTACGCGCAAGACTCCAATGGAGTTGCATTTGGGATGGCGTCCATGCAGACCTATCGATCGCCGGAACCCGGATCAAGTACATAAGCTTCCACTAGGAACAAGTGAATTTGCAATACAATATCAGAAAGATGTTGAGAAAGTTAAAGAGAATATAATAAAGGCACAACATCAGATGATAGAACAGGCGAATAAGCACAGAAGACCTTCTCAGTTTGCTGTAGGTGATCTGGTATGGGTTAAGTCTAAAGAATTCATTACTGAGGAGAACATTTCCCAAAAATTGCTACCAGCCTACAGAGGACCTTGGCAGGTTCTAGATGTGATTGGAGATGTGGATGGACCTTCTTACGTGGTTGAGATTCCTCTACATTTACATACGTATCCAGTGTTTCACGCCTCAAAGCTCTTATCTTGCGTGCCGAATGAGTTGTTTCCTAGTCGCAGATCGGCGATTCCTCCTAGTATCTTGTGTGCCAATCAATTGTCTTTGTCCGTGGATTTTCACCGGGAGAGGAGAGGAGAGGAGGCGTCCGCATATCCGATCATGTGCCAATCCATCTTCTTTGTCCATGGATGTTCACTGGGAGAGGAGAGGAGAGGAGGCATCTGCAGAATCTGAGGTATTCGATCGTGTGGACAAGCAAGGTAATGATGGCCATGTGGAGTTGTTGGAGGGAAGATGGTGGTCCTGTGTTCACTATCTTTCCCGGCCCTGCTGCGTTTGCAGCAGAACAATTATTTCCCCGGAGAGTGAGTGATTGGGCTGATTTCTTTTCTTTTGTCCTCTTTAAAAAGGCGACAGCCTTGTGATATCATCATTGAACTGACCGGCCCAGGTAATTCAGAATCATTTTATCCTGTTCATCGGACTGCATCTGGACTCTAACTTGGCTCGGTATTTCAACCGTTCATGGGTGTACCAACTGGGCTAGGCCGGTTGGTTGGCTGATTATTTTCCGTTGAGCATAATCCATCGACCACACACACAATCAAGCAATCAGTCCGTCAAGGAATCAAACTATGAATGGATCACTTGAGCAGAGCAATCAAGCAACGGATCAATCAACCGTATCGTTCAGTCAATTAACCAAACCAATCAATTATTGCATCAATTAATCAAATCAAAATTTGATTGATCAATTATTCGATCGAGCAGTCAGTCAGGAAGATGGTGACAAAGTTCCCTCCCCCCCCCCCCCCCCCCCCCCCCCCCCCCCCCCCCGCCCGGGCGATCTGTGCATGTTTTGACGATGGTGTGCTCACCTCCTTGGTTTCTGTCTGCCTGCTCTTTGAGTTGTCCTTTTCATGATTGCCTCTTTTAACGCGCGAGATTTGTTATTTTACTGGCCAATTAGGGCCTCGCTCCACTACTGACCACATGCACAAACGACAAATATATGGTGGTGTATCTGTCCATGTTCTAGGGGAAGATTCATTCACAGTTTGCACACGTGGCGAGTAGTGGATCGAGGCCCTTAGATATGTGGACGGATCTCAATGTGACATGAATCTCACTGAAGCCACATAATTTGGATATGGTGTCCGCAACAGAATGCCGCCAGCACTTGCTTTGTTCGTGCCTATGCCAATCCGATCATCAGAAACAATGATGTTACACAAACGTGGTGTTTCTTAGGAGGACGACATCTGTTATGATGCGTTGGAGTCACACCTCTATCCTTGTCTTGGTTATAAAGAAGACGACCTAATTGTAAACCACGTAAGGCCGATGGCTTTCCATAACCTAAACCTTTGGATTCTGACTTTAACTGGCTCAGGTCCTAATGGAGTAGCAGCAGCACGTGCTATGTTCTCAGCAGTCGCTCTGACGAAGGATTGTCATCGATTCATCAGCAGGATGGATATGCTGTAGTCTGAAGGAGTTTGATGAACCGCCTGCTTTTTTTTTGTTTGATAATATATAAAATCACCTGCGAAAAGAAGAAAATTCAAGAAGAGCCAAAGAAAAATTCCCGGCCCCCCCTCCTCCCCTGCTTCTCCCCCCCTCCTCCCCCGCTTCTCCCCTCCCCCCTCCAAAAAAAAGGCTGTCTACATTCTGCGTATTGTCTATTCTTAAAGTATAACTGCCATGCCATTTGTGTTCTATGATTCTATGCGTTTTTTTTTTTTTTTTGTTTCCCTTTTTTTTTTTGCAGTCATGGAGCTGATTGTTGTGTAATCCATTGTCTTGTCACATCTAGTTGTCTGCTGCCTGGCAATTTCTCACTTTCTTGCCCCTCCCCCTCTCCCCACCCTTCTTTCGGTGGTAAAGCCTTCTTACTATTTTAGTAAGTTTTCAGGGACGGTCTTCGGGGGTTTCCTGAGAACAATGTGTTTTTTGTTTTCTGTAACGACTGTCGTCAGGGATATGATACGAGCGGTGCGGGCTTGTAAAACGGCAGCTGAGGAGCGGGCGGTGATTGCCAAGGAGTGTGCGGCCTTGCGAACGGCTTTTAAAGAGCAGGAGAGCGACAACAGACATCGAAATGTTGCGAAGCTTATGTTCATCCACATGCTGGGGTACCCGACTCATTTTGGTCAGATGGAGTGTCTCAAGCTGATCGCTGCTGCTAGTTTTCCAGAAAAACGTATTGGTTATCTCGGATTGATGCTGTTGCTGGATGAGCGGCAGGAGGTTCTTATGCTCGTAACCAACTCCCTGAAGAAGTACGTCTTCTGTAGCTTCTCTCTCTCTCTCTGTTACTGTGCTCCTCTCTGAAGTAGGTTATTTCTCTCTGTCTCTCTCTCTGTGTTTTCTACCACTTATTTCTATTTCTCTCTCTCTCTCTCCCCCTCCCTCTCTCTCTCTCTCTCTCTCTCTCTCTCTTGGATGTGTATGTTTTCTGTGACTTGGCTTTCTGTCTGTGAAGAATCTCTACTTCTTCTCTCTCTTTATCTGGTCGAATGTTTTCTTAGAGTTCTCTCTTTCCCCTCCTCTCTGCCTTCTCTCCCCTGTTCTCTTCTTGGGTGTTATCGTCTGCCCTGTCTCCCCCTCCCCTTCGGTTTCTTCTCGATTCTGTTTCCTCTTCTCGTTCATGCTCTTTCTTCTCTCTCTCCCTTTTCTCCCTTTCCGCTGTATTATCCCTCACCCCTTCCCGTTCTTCACCTCCTTCCTCCCACCTTCTTCTCCCTCTCTCTCCCTCTTTTTTTCTTCTCCTCCCCTTTTTTTGTTTTTGTTTTCTTCTAGTTATCCCTCCCTCCATATTCTTCCATCGTCTCCCCCCTCCTCAGTCACTGCTGTCCCCCACTCTCCCTTGTTCCTTCCTATTTGAACTCTGTGCTCTCTCTTCGTCCTCTCCGGAACTCTGCTCCCCAACTGTCTACCACGTGGAGTGCGCTCTCTGTTTTCCGGGATTCTTTATTTCCGCCACCTGTCTCTTCCTTCCTTGGCCATGATCACATTGCAGCCCGCCCTCATGATCACACCCTAAGTACTGGGATATGACCCAGTTTCTTCCTTTTGTGAAAAGTTACTTTCTCCTTATATCCATCCCTCTTCTTCGGGCAGTAACCTTGTGCTTGGGCATGCGGATTCAAAGACACGACCTGGCTGCATCGTTTCACATGCCGGCCGTCGTCGGGATTGCCACGTGTGACTGGGGCGGATCAGTTGTCATAGAGATTGTGGACATGAAGAGGGTGCGCCCGGCAGGCGCGCGGGGAATCGCATATGCGCAAGCAAGGAGAAAATGCAAGAGCATTGCTGCTGCGAGGAGGATGGAGGAGGGGTGATGTTGGAAAGAGCTTGGCTTGCCGAGGGAGACACTTTGTCAGTTGGGCATAACACCACGTCTGAGACAGTTCTGCCGCTGAGGGAGGAGAGGATGCTGTGTATGCAAGGCCGGTACTGGAGCTTCTGAAAGGAGCCGTTACAACTTTGGTCGGAGAGGAGGGAGGGTAGTGGTAATCGGGTATAAAGCAAGAGGATGGTTGATGGAGCGTGACAGAACAGAAATGGATGATGTGGGTGAGGGTGCCGGGGAAGACAGTGTGAATGTCGGCTGTGGGCAGCTTTTGATATTGACGATGAGAGTTATTGTTCGTTTCGTTATCCGTATAAGTGTGGAGGCAGTGGGCGGTTTCAGAGAAGTTGAGGGGGAGTGTGTGGGTGGCACGGGAACATCTGGATGCTGATTCACAGCCTGTAATGATATTTTTGTACCATTGTTCCCAAATGCGAGGATGTGAGCCCTCGACAATCCCGTATGGACCCCCCGCTGCAAGCTATGTGGCCGCCCTAAGTGAAGGCGGGCCCTGAATTTCAAAGCGGCCTGGATATTGCAAAATTTGCCAGCCTTAGTGGGCGCCAGACGGTTGCCACACGCCAGTCGGTTACATGTGCCCTGCTCGCGAGCTTCAGAATCTTCCATGAGCCTTCTAGGTTCTTCTACTAGAGACTTGGAAGCCGGCCTCTCGGCCAATCAGGAAGCATGGAACACCTCACTGGGCGTGAGGTGGTTGGGCGCGCCTAACTGCTGTGGGCCAGGCCATTGTCTGAACGGGCCTGGGCGCAGACACTTTGGCCCAAAGTGAAGCTATTGGTCGCACTCGCGTTCCAGTCCAGGCAGCCAGCGTGCCTGGCCGCTTTCCATTTAGGAATGAGCCAGGCTACGAACGGGACATTCGCTCACTCGGACGAGCGGGCGGCAGTGCGGCTGGAGCATATGCTCGGGCGTAGCTGGCTAGCGCAAGTGCAGAGGAGCGCGATCGCTAGTGAGAGGGTGCTGCAAGCAGGCAAAGCCATAGCTCAGCCCTCCATAGCCGGGCTGAGCTTGATTGGTCAGCGGGGATTACCGGTGGTCCTTGGTTGGAGGACCGTGAGTGGGGTGAAGATGAGGGTGAGCATGAGGCAGAGAGCGAGTGGAGGAGTGATGTGAGAGCACGTACCTGGTCCTGGCCGAGGTCTGCATGGTCGACATCTGCATGTACTTTGGTTGCTGCTGCTGACATCAACTGGTTGCTTTGTCATTTTGTAGGCTAGCTTCGTAGTTGTAGAAGCGTAGTCTGGGCGCCGAGCGCCAGTAGGGAGCAAGAGCTTCGAGTACATTGTTGGTGGTCGTGAGAGAGGGCTCTCACGGACAATTGAGTTCGCTGCTTTGGTTCTCCTTCAGTGTGATTTCAGTGCATTTCTGCTTTCTGGACACCTTAGCACTATCTGGCATTCAATGTGATTTTGCAATCTGGAATTCTGTCATTTCGCTATTGCTCGTTTTTCCTTGCACAAATTATTATTGCCGAGTATTATCAAACGTAGATGTACCATCACTACATTCCGTTGGTCGTCGAGTTGATCGGTGGCCCCCTTGTATGTTGTCCAGGGGCACTATCATCATCATGGCGAAGCAGGATCGCGGTCCTTTCTGCAGCAAAGTTGTGTCATGGGTATTGCTTCACACCCATCCATACATCTACATCTACATCTACTATAATAACTGCTAAACGTCATATTGCACGGCCCGAATCGCAGGTCGGTAACCACCTCGGACGGCGCGGATCGCAGGCCGATCAGAAAGTTTTCTGATCGGCGTGCGATCTGGGCCGTCCGCGGTGGTTACCGGCCTGCGATTCGGGGCGTGTGATGTCAGATTTCAGATTCTGGCGGTCGCTACCGGAGGCGCCGAATTGCAGGCCCGCCCACCCCTCCAATCGTCCGCCCATAATCGTGGCCCACCCCTCCAATCGTCCCCCCGCCCGTCTGCCCGAAATCGTGGCCCGCCCCGGCCACTCCTCCACGGGCGCCGGTTGGTACCAGAAGCGCCGAATCGCCTGCCCGTCTGCTTTCGTTGCCCCGGCCACCCACTTCGGTGTTGCCGGCCCACCCCTCCAATCGCCCGCCCATATTGTTGTTGCCGTCCACCCCTCCAATTGCCCGCCGCTTTCCGGAATGTGCGCGTGTGTGTGCTCGGTGGTCGGTGCTCTCTCTCTCTCTCTCTCTCTCTCTCTCTCTCTCTCTCTCTCTCTCTCTCTCTCTCTCTCTCTCTCTCTCTCTCTCTCTCTCTCGGACTGTCGCTCGAC